ATATTTCAGTTAATAAAAAATAAATTTTCAAGTAAATTATTGTATAAAACTTCGACAGTTCTAAGAATGAATAAAAACTTCGCTTGATGATGAAATCGGCTAATTTTAGGAATTTATGAGTTATGAACTCACAGTAGTGTCAAACACAGAAGTTTGTAATTCGACTTTTACCAAACTTAAATGAGCTTGGAAATGTGTACAATAAGTTTGTTTCGTCGCCCGTATTCTAATTGAGAAAAATTTTGTAACCATTACTTTATCCTATTCTGAAAAACTTTGCCCTGTAGAATCTCTATCCTTACTATTGTACTGCATCGTGATTGATTGTTTTGGGATTTTAATTATGTATAATATGTTCGTGATTTTTTCGACTCATATGGATTTTGTTCAACTTTTCTATCACTACAAAATGATTCATTTATAGCAAGATTACTATGCAGTATCACAGAAAAAATCCCTTTGTAATGGTACAATCACGACAACTGTTGATTACGAAGTATATTGAAATGATTTTTTTTTTCATTTATGTAGCATGGTAAATTCTAATCTAGCAACTTGTTTTATAGCAACAAGAAAACTGAGCGACATTCATGTCTTCAAAAGAAGCACACACTTTTGTCACATACTTAGAACTTGAAAATCGTCAATCATGATGCAGTACATGAATTCTTACCTTACCCTACGAAGTTTTTATCACATTCCATCTTAATCCTACGCTGGTTGGAAGACTATCAAAAGTGATAAATAGTCAAATAGTATCATTTTAGATATGCACAGGGCAACTTTTTGCTTACTTTGTATTGTGATTGAGAGAAATCTAACCCTTACTCTAACGTATCCTACGGAATCAAAAAGTTTGATTCTGAAAGTTTTGTTTTTCTTAAAATTTATCCATGCATCTATAAATTATTGTGTTTTTTGTTTATTAGTTAATATATGAAGAATAAATTTGTTACTATTTAATAGTAGAAAGAAACGTTGACTGTTTCACTGATATAAATCCGACATTGACATAAAAAGACAAGTTCCTCACGATAATTCCGATGAAGTCTGAGTCTGATGTTGGGCTCTATAATCTACTGCACCATTCAGGATAGAGTAGGATAATCTCGCAAATTTCATTATAACTTTTCTCGTATGTGATATTCATGAAAATAAAATGCAACATTTGTTGACTAAAATAATTTGAATACAAAGACCATTTGTTGATTGCGCACGATGACAACAAAATAATATCGGTTTATTTTTTATTTTAAAATTGAAACTAAATTCAAAGTTAACAGAATTGAATTGATGAAAAATGAATCTTATGGTCCTCATGCAGTCTCAATAAGTAAAGACTTTCTTGTGGCAACAAAAAGTAGTCAAACTCATCGGATAAATGTATTCTTTCAGTTAAAAGACAACAATAATGTTTTCAGGATTTCAATTCCCAATAATTCTATTTTTTCTTCTTACAAATAAAGATCCTATTGAAAAAAAAGTAATTATCTCAGACTTTTCTCTACTAGGTCTGTCAAATCTAACATAGAATGCTTAACTGCACAATTATTTGAATATTGACAGTATGTAAACTCAATGGCGCAGACCAAATTAAATGTCAATTTTACTAATTCATTGAAAACAAAACAAAAACAATACAAATACTTACAATAAAGTTTCATTATCTTCTTTTAAATTCATTAATAACATATATGATGAAAATTCAGCTACATTTCTTAATGATTGAATATTATTTTGTTGTTTATGTGCCAAATAACATTCACGTAATTGATTAAGACAATCAATTAACATTTTATCATTTAATTTAGGATCAAATAAATCACGAGAATGTTCCGATAAAAATGCTGAACAAAATATATGAAACCGTGCACATTGTTCAAGAATTTCAATAGCTATTTCATCACGTAAATGTTGTTGAGTTAATTCCTAAGATTATAAAATAAATAATTAATAGATAAAAATTTTATAAATAAATTAATTTACTTTTCGAATAGCTCGTAAACGATCCCATAAAAAATTATACCAATCACCTTGTTCACGTTCTTGATCAAATTTATCCATTATATTTGTTATTAAATAATTCATTGTATGTAATAGAACAGGACCTGAACGAAGATCATATGGTGTTGGCATAGCCTACATTAAAAATAATCATAATCTTTTTCAAAGAAAAAACTAAGATAATATCAACAAACTTGATCAGCCGATGCTCGTGAATATTCAGTAATCATAAGTGAATGATTTAGCTAGAAAAAAATATTTTGATCGTCAGAGAAAATACATAGTCCTTTGTTTTTTAATTATACATACAGATCGTGTATCTGGATCAAGTTCATATGATTTAAATAAACGTTGAATTTCGCGTGTAAGTCGTTCTCGTTCACAACACATATCGTGACATAAGCCAGTACGTTGAGCAGCGTTTGCATCAAAGGACGAACCTTTGTTAAGTTCAACATCTGGGAAAAAAAATAATTTTTTCAAAAAATCTTTAAAAATTAGAAAATAGTACATTTTCGCCAGATTTCATCACGAATATCCAATGATTTGATTCTGTCTTGATAGGTTACTGCTCGACGTTCTTTAAGTTGAGTTATAAGTGTAGCTAATTGATCATTCATTGAAATGCAATTACTTATTTTTCGTTCCGATGGATTATTTGTGAAATAGGAAAGGATGAAATAGTTTCACAAAAAATTTAAATTCTAATTTGGTTTCGTTGTTGTATGACACGAACAAAGATAAATTTTTGAATCTATTCGATTTGTTAAATAAAATAACCAGTCATCATATACATGAAAGTGCATGAAAAGTCAATTGTATATATCAACTAATTGAAATAATAATATTCGTAAATGTTTTCTCTTTTACAGATAAAATCAAATTTGGTGACTGATATATTTCATAGTTTTGCATCATCAGTTTTGTGAAATATACATGGAAGTGATAGAGGCGCCCTCTGTCACAACTAGTTCAATATACTATTATCTATAGATTTAGAAGAATTCATATCTTGCTTGGACTTTGTATTTCAAGTAATTTCAATTGATCGTTTTGCTTCCTATCAATCAAGTCTTTTTTACGCGTACGCAAACAAATTCATTTAGTTAACCATGATGTAACATAGTATATTGTTTGGTAGATATTGCTAAATATCATATGAAGGTTCATTAATCTTCCAACAACCTTCACATCGTTAAGGATTTATGACAGAGATATGTATCATGTGTAAAAGAAGAACACAGACAACGTTCAGTGGTCTAACGTCCTTACGATCAACGACACGATCATTCTAAGCAGTTATTGGAAAATATTTTTTCGTCAATTTTTTCCCATGTTTATTGCACTACAATATTTCTTAAATAATAATGTTGCATTTTTGAATACTTATGTATGAACTAAATTATAAAGTTGAAAATGTCATAGAAGAATATTGAATTAGACAAGATGTAGTCAGGTATAAAGGGTGTTCTTATAAGTTCTGAGCGTAGGTAACAATTTCGTTTATATGTAAACAAGAAGTAATCTTCATCAAATTATATCTACTTGAGTTTTAGGTATTCAACTCAATGTTTTGAATGCTATACTACTGGTTGTTATTATCTGTCTTAGTAATACTAAGGTATTTATCGGAAGCGAGATCGTGAAAATTCCGAAATTGAACAGCATTCTGTTTATAAGAATTTTTAATAAAACAGGTACCGAATTGTATATAAAGTAACAAAAATATAGAAAGTGTTATGCATAGTTGCTGTGACTACATATTAGAAGGATATTACGAGCCTATGTTAGTGCAATTATTTATGTTATATTCCAAATAAGTCTTCTACAATGAACAATAAGCATGAATATATTCTGTAGAAATCGCAAGACTTGTTCTGCATTCAGTACGTCTGTTTTTTTGCTTGTCTCAGAGCTGGTAAACTCCATACAATTTAATTCAATTCATGAATCTAGTTGAGTTGAAAAAGATTTCCGAGATCTGCGAATTCAATTCAATTCAACCCAGAGAAACTTTAGAAACTGTTGCTGTAAGATCAATTCACATAATAAAACTAATAAAACCTCAAGTTATGACAACAATTGGATTTTGAATTTCTCTCCAGTGCTATTATTTCGGAGGTTACTGAATCACAAGTGCATTTTCATATATATATTTCTTGTGCATTTGCATCATCTTGTCACTATTTTTTTCTTTTGCTTGCTTTCTTCATAAGTGTATATAATTTATATATCTATGCTTTCAATGCACCGATGTGTTTTCCTATTGTTTCGTGTTGTAGGCACAATATTCATTGATCTTGATCTACTAGCACAACATCTTGCATGTCATTTGTTTCGGTGTATTAATGCAATACCTATTGTTCGACATCTATAACTCCTGTAATTTGTTCATCTTTTGTTCAATGGTATTTGATCTAGCTACGGTCTTCTCTTGTAGTCTACTATTGTTGTTATATAAATATTCCAAAGCATTTTATGATAAATAACCCAAGTTATATTGTGATGTGAAGAAAATGATTTTTTTTTATGGGATGAACAGCAATAAAACTTCGTTTAACTGTTTCAATAATTACGGGGCCTAGATCTGTGAATTTCTGGCCAGAAAATTTGGGAGTATGGTAGGAACTTAATTAGTCAACATGAATACATTCGTTCGCACATTTTTCATTCCATAAATATAACAGATTGATCAAGATATCAGGTATTATATTACTGATGGATGTAAATCGAGAGTAATCAAAGATAAAAATTTGATTCTTTCATTTTATACCATGAGGTATGTCAAAATCAAACGAAAAATGAGGTACTATTGACGATGTTAAACGAGCAAGTATAATAAATTAATCGCTGTGTAAATAAAACTTTATCTGTTATCTATTCTTATTATGATAAAAATAAAACATTTTTCTTTGTATAAAGTCTTTTTCTGTTCAAAGAAAAAGGAAAAAAAAGATATAAAAAAAGAGATAAAAGTATAAAGGGTTTAAAAGTTACTATTTAAGTGAATTCGTACTGCGTGTAATCGAAGAGCCGGATATTTGTGGACTCATCGAAAGACATGGAACACGTTGTTGAGAAGGTTGTATTGGTAATGTTGTTATTGTAAAACGAGGTACTTTAGTATCACTTAGACGATATCTACTATTACTGGATTGTAATGGTGAAATAAAATCATCTCCAGCATTATTTATATGCTGATAGATACTACCAGGATGACTTTGATATAATGATGATAATTGCTGTTGTTGTTGTTGTTGTGGTGGTGGTGGTGGTGGATGAACATGATAACGATTATTTTGATAATGACGCCGTAAATTTAAATCAGATGTTGAAATATTTGGTTGTAGAATAGATGAGAATGCTTCATTTTGATCATCATTACCATTATGATGTTTTAAACATAGACAGCGAGACCATTTGCATATAGCTACGACAAGAATGACAAGCACAACAGAAAGAATACCAATACATAGACCGATAAAATCACGTGTCAATAGCGTCGGACTTATGTCCAACATCTTTGACTGATCAAAATCTGACACTATCAATCATAAATCAATAAACAATGAATGAATCATATAAACTTACTTGTTCACTTCACCTTTCTGACAGACTTGTAATATAGATACATCGGCAAGGTTGTTTTATCGATAATAAATGTTAGAAAAAGAAGATTATATACGTCCATAAGTTTGCCCTTTACTTTCTTTCTCTCGTATTCTTTCTATTGTTTATCATACCAGACATATGAAAACGTGGTTCATCATTTATTATTTTTCTTTTCTCTTTCTTTCGCTAGTCACATATACATGAAAACAAAGTGACAAACAAAACAAACAAACAAAAAAAAAGAGAAAGAAAATTCTTCTTATAAATTATCGTCTTGTTGGTTTAATACCGAGTGTTGCTGCACGACTATAAATATCATGAACAGCAAATGGCGAAGAACCAGCAAGATAATCATCATCGAGTGCATTTCGTTTCATCAATGATTTTTTTGTTGGTCGATTTTGTGGTCGTGGTTGACCTTCGACACGTATTGGATTATTTGAATGTTTACCACCACGAGGCAATGGCAATGATTGCTAAAATAAAATCATATCTATATATGATATTATCATTTATTTAAATCTGTCTACATACACGAGGTTTCTGTCGATAACGACCAGTTAAATAGTAATGCCGTTGACCGGATGAATCAACACTAACACTGGCACGTTGTAAAGATGGATTACCACAATCAGGACAGAATTGTTTAGTCATTTGACGAGTAACACTACATATGAATGTGAAGTTTTTTTTTTAAATAAGAATTTCTACAACATTGTAATTCTTACCCTGGACAAACGCGACATTTCAATACATAACTACGAGCTGTTCGAATGAGAAGACCATCAACAGAGAGAACAGGAATACCCATTTGAATGAGAACATTCTTTTTGAAAAAGAAAGTTGTAATAAAATATGAAGTCTTAGATAGAAAAAACAAATACCTGCATCGAAAAATCAGTGGTAATACAAGCAACAGGTAGAGTTTCATGCATTGTTTCACTATTCTCTGATGTTCCATTATCTAAAGCTTTTGACTTGACAGCTTTAACATTTGACGGAGTTATCCAACCTTTACAAATAACAAATAGTTTGAATAAAAACATAAATGTTGAGTTTCTTACCATCATCATCATGACCGAGATGAAGATCATTTATTGATTCTGTAATATCACTTTCATTTTCAACTGCTGTAACAAATGATTGAACATCTTCATCTTCTTCATTATCAGGATCTTCTTCTTCTTCTTCTTCTTCTTCTTCTTCATTAGCACCATTATTATTTGCTATTATTTCGTCTTCTTTCTCAACTTGATTTTCTGTTGTCAATTTCTCAGAATTTTGATCGTCATTTTTTTCCTGTAAACGAAACCAAATAAATAGAACTCATAAATTTAAATTATTTGATAGTTTACCTCATTCTTTGGAAAAACAAAACCAGCTAATTTAACACCAGCATTACCGAATGATACTGTTGAACTGGGTATAGTAGCCTATGTATATACATAAATTTAATTATTTTCTTGTAATTTTTTTCTTTGTAAACTTACATTTATTTTTGGTTCTAAATTCAATTTTTCTGTACCAACTGTTTCTTGATAAAGTTGGTAAGTTAATGCTAACAATCGAAGATCAACTGCTGATAAAAATGCATAGTCACCTGTTTTCTTTGCATAATTTGTTACTATAATATATAAATGAAAAAATAATTATTTATTGAAAATACAATAAAATAAAAAGAGCAAACTATCTTACCAAAACGGATTGCATCAGTACTTGGTTCTTTAAATTGCAACGTATAAAGAAGTACATTGAGTGATTCACGTGTTTTGATATCACGTATTTCTTTGACAACATCTTCGACTGTATAAACAACATCAGTCAAATTCTAAATATTATTCATTCAATAAGATCTTTTTATTAATTTTCGTAATTTTGAAAATTCTATATTTTCGTTATATATGTTCTTCAGTTTTTTAAATTTACTATGAACAAAGGGTGCACAAGTAGTAGAATGTGTCATCCAGTAAATGCTTGTTTTTTTTTATCATTAAAAATCTATTCTCGAACAATTTAGTTTGTTAAAACGATTTGTCTTTAATTTAGAAGATATTTTTTATTCGAAATAGAATCATTCGATAGCTGAAGTTCATTTCATATTGAGATGTTTCTTACTGCATCATTATTTAAAACAATAGAATAGTATCGTCTTTTGTCTGTCGATGAATGTTTTGAAAAAAAAACAGAGAACGGAATGCTGAAATAGACTAACAATCCAAATTGAGATCTTTCAGTAAAAAACAAATGTTATTATAACATAGCGAATTTCATTTTTGATTTTAGCTGGAGAATATGAAACGAATTGTATGATTAAACTCACGAGCAAGGTAACAAAAGAGTTTTCAAGCATTGTACTTTATCCTTCGGCCGCAAGAAGATTTCAATGAACCTGAGAAATCTCTAGAACCGTTTGTGCTTTTTATTAAGTTTTTTTTGATATACTTAAAAGTTGAAATCTCTGGAATAACAAAGGATAGATGTCTGACAGATCATAGTTCAATGATTTGTAAGAACCGAATGAAAACGATTGATAATCAATGCTTTTCACTTGAGCAAGCTTTAAAAATTAACTGTTTTTTCTATGAAAGCCAGGTTTCTGGACGCATCATTTTATACTCTAATAGACTTAGCACAACTCTATTTCAGCTTCATTCTACAGTTTAGATTACTGGACTCAACTAGAACTATCATATGTCTCAATCAGTCGGATAAAATGAAGTGTTCGAAAATGTCAGCTAATATGAAAAGAGTCGTTTTACTCATACGAAAGAAGCTCAACAATGAAAGTCAAGTCACTTATCTGCATTGAGGCTGCCATATATGCAACACAGAAACGATACTTCAACAAATAAATGATAAAGACCCAATTGTTTTTCATGTCAAACATTAGACGTCGTTATAAACTAAGTTGTATTCCAAACGATTTTCTAAGGAAATGACTGGAAAAACTCCAAAGCACATTACAATAGGGAGAACAATAAATGAAAGAGAGAAAAGAACATGAATTAAGTAATTGAATCAATTGAACTATTTTGGTTTTGAATGTGCCTGTAGACCAGAAGAGGTTGAAAAAAGTGACTTGTTAGTAGCTCCATTTTAAATACAGGTTTGATCGTATCTCGAGAGGAAGCAAAGTCATGGGCACGAACACTCTTAAGATTTTCTTAATTTCATCGAAATATACTTATGCTCAAACACATGATGAGAAACGCTCAGAAACAGTACGGATACTTCTCTCGTAAATTTCAATATAGTTTATTCAATCATTTTCATGTTTCAGAAAATGTTGAAACTCTTTTAGCATATCATTTAGTTACATTCTATGAAAATCGAAACTATTTCAATTCTAAAAAAATTCTTTAAATTGATTTGTAATCAATCTGAATCCTTTCTTCTAAATCTTTAACAGTCTTATCATAATAAAACCTAGTTAAGAATATTTTAAAACTATTAAACATACATGTAATGGTGCTTGTCTAATGAATGCACTTGAATCGACAACTAAATGATTGACACGTTTATTATTATTATTATTATTAGTTGTACTCATCTAAAAAAAATCAAAATTTTACAAGTTATCCATAACAATAGAAGCTAACAATTAATAACAAAAAAAAAACAAATAGTATTTCAAATATCAAAATCAAATCTGACAAAAAAACAAAAATATATCACCCTTCAAAATTCATAGATTTTTAAATGTGTCATACAATTCACAATAAGTTTATTTTCAGTACCTAATAAACATGCATTAAATGCATTATAATCAATAATTTGATTTGAACCATTTGAATCTATCATTCGCATTAATTTTGTTTCCCAATTCATAAATAAATATATCTTATTATGTAATGGCATAAACAAACCAAGATTTGGTTGATTAAAATAATCAAATGATGTACCAATTTGAATACATTGAAATGGATATATATTAAATAAATCTAAACGCCATGTATGTGTTTTATGATTTTGTATAAGTACAGCTAAATTTTGTTCATTTGTACGAATACAACAAATATTTTCATCCAATTGATTTTTAATAATAAGTGTTATTAATATTGAATAATCTAATAAAAATATTTTATTATTTAATCTCCATACATCAAGAGATTTCTCATTTAATAAAAACAATTTATTTTTATCTGTTGTCATTGATATATAATGATTATTATGATTAATTAATGTTATATATGATACAATGTCTACTTTATTACTTGGTGGATAATAAACAAATAAAGATTTTCGACATAGAATAAAAAAACATTCCATTGTTAATGAATATATTAAATCACATAATTCACCGTATTTTTCAACTGATTCTAAACGTGTTTCATCACATTGTGTACCATCAATATTATAAATAACGATACGATTTTTCCAACCAAGAAATATTTGTTGATTATTAGCTGCCATATGACCATAGGTTGAATCAAGTCTTATTTCACGTAAATAATTCCATTTAATTAATTTTTCTTCATGACAGTAAAAAAAGAAGACGATATTCATAAAGATATTTTTATAAAAATGAAACCTTTTACCTGTAGGCTTTGCTGACTCATTGTATTTATTGACTATCTGATTTAATTCATTGATACTTATTTGATTTAATACTTTATTAATATTTTGAACGTCTTTATCTAATTGTTCCATTTGTTGTGATAATTCTTTAAGATCACTTTCAGCTAATGCATTTAAATCTCGTTTCTCATTAAGTTCTTTTCCAAGATTTTTATGACGTCGTTTTAATTCAGATTGACATACATTAAAGATACATAGAATTTTTTCTTTAACATCTTTTGTATGTTGATGAATCAATTCAATTATTTCATATTCCCATTTATCAATATATTCTAAATGTTGATTTATTTTTAATTGATTAAATAATTTTTCAGTCATATCTGTATATTGTTTGATTAATTGATCGAATTCATTTGTTAGTTCTTGACGATGTTGAATTAAATGAACAAAACAAAATAAGTTTTTACATCCAATACAATTTGCTATACAGACATTTTGTTTTGTTTCTTCAGAACAAAATTTACATGAAAATAATTGATCAGAATTACGTTCGACCATTGATCTTCAAGAAATATTAGAATTAAATTTACAATGAAAAATTTTCTTCCCTATATTTTTGTCTGTTTTTCGTTATATTAGAACATAAAATTTGAAAAAAGCACATATGCATATTAAGAAAAAAGAAAAACAAAGCAAACGACAATCAATTATTAGTTATCGACTAGGTCAAGCAATGTTTGTTACTTAGTTCAATGTATTATGAGAATGAATTACGTATCAAATAAAAGTATTTTTCACACTCATATGAATCATAAGAATAAAACTTGGAAAAAAATATGGAAAGACAAAAGAGAAAAAAAAAATTAAATAATCGAAATAAATGCATAAAATCTATAAAGATGGAAATGAATAGTTTATTTTATTAATCATGTTAAGTATCAATCACTGGGCGTATCGCTATTATTTTCTGATGATAAACCTTCATTAACTTGTAAATTTTCAGTCGGATTTCGTTCTGATTCATTTTCTTCAGTTTGATTAGCAGTATTAGGTCGTTGAAAATGAGCATATTGTTTACTTGATTGTTTTGTTTTATCTTTATCTTTATCTTGTTTTCTCCACAGAACAATTTCCTAAAACAAAAAAACAAAACAAAAATTCTTTTTTTTTTTCAAAATAAATCAATGACTTGTTGTTTAAAATAACGTCGTTCTTCTTCATCAACTAACACAAGATTAAGAAAATATCGAACAGAAAATTTTCTTTGAATATCTTTCATTGTTGGTGTTAATTCATAACCAGCCAAAAATAAACGTATTGGAATGCTTTCACCTAAATAAAGAGTTTTATTCAAAAACAAAAATTATGTTTTTTTCTTTTTACCTCGAACTGGTGCACCATCCATGATTTCATATTTTGCAATTGTTTCATTTTCAGCATAAATATTCGGTCCTGTACCTGCATTTTCTTTTTTTATAATAGCTATTTCCATGTGTTTTATTTTAATACGAACAAGTAAAAAATATATTTTTCCAACAATAGCATCTTTCAAATGATATTTTGATTTATTATATTCAAATTCAATGTGTAAACAATCTTCAATACCAACTTCCATTTTAATACTATTATTTATTTCAGGATATTGTGATAATTGATGAACACATATATCACGTTCGAAGACATTATTAGAAAAACGTTTTATAATTGTTAAACGAAGAAAATATCTATAGAGATTTTTATTTTTATTATTTCTTTCTTTTTTCATGAATCGAAATGAATTACCTTAATTTAATATTAATACCAATATAAGATTCATAGGGTTTTTCAACATTTGGAAAAGTAAAATCTATCGATGTACTTTCAGTTAATTCACCTGGAAATGCAAGTAATTTTGATAGATTTAGAAACTCATGAATAGTACTACGATCATTGAGCATTTCTACAAAAAAAAAATTTGTTTTAATTAAAATAAAAATATAATTTAATGAAAGTATTGTTATTATAAGTGTGATATTTTTATCGTTTGGGATTAACAATTTGTGTCGGAAGGAGCTTTTCAAATTCATATTGCTTCTTAAACGCAAGTATTAATAATTAAAAGCAAATAAATGCTAATAGTCTCAAAGGTATATGTGACATATTCATAAAATACAAGAGTTTCTTGAAAAGAAAAACAAAACTAAAGTGATCAAAGCTTTGTTTTTTTTCTTAATGTTCGAATTTTTTTAAAACAATGGCGTATAAAGAATAACATGTTTTATATTTCTCGAATAATACAAATAGCTTTCCATTTATAGAAGCATTTTTTTAAATAAAAAAGTCACTTATCAATTGTCTGCGAAACTGTTGATTTCTATGTGTCTAAATATTTTCAATTATTTCGAATCTGATTTATTGAAAAGTCAATTATCTTCACAGATTAATAATGTGAAATACTCTTCACAGTACTGTTGTGCTAATTCTTTAATTTATTCTTTATTCATGTAAATCATTGGTTACTTATTAATCTTGATTTAACCCTATCAGACCACAATATATGAGATGAACTTAAGTCAAGCAAAGTTTTAATGATAAAGAGCATACATTCTAAGAGTGGAAACATTAAATAATGCACATAAAAGAAAAAATTATTTTTGAAAAATTGCAGTAATTAAACTAATCATTTGTTGCATCTAGGGAAAAAACTATTTAACTAAGTGAAAGGGCAATTACACTATTCGAAAAACTTTAAAAGAGTCATTGTTTTATACTTAGGGCTAACCAAAAGTTCTAAGCCCTGTGTTTGAAGGACCTTGTCGAATAAGGTAACCTATTCAGGAATGACAAACTAAGTATACCATATTGTAGAGCAGTTTTAGGCACATCGAATGGTATAGAGTAAATCCTGTTTTCATAAAACTTTGAAGGAACTAGAGTCAATTTACTGGTAGACGACTACACGCTCACATCGATACCGACAGCTAAGCATGATATGATACTGAANCGTAGAAAGACTTGATTCGTTTACAAAATCGACCTCTACGTGGTAAACTTGACGAGATTCGATGCGCCACCACAAATAGAGTTTTAGGTCTTGCGTCGATTTAACAACCTACTTCTACTAAGTTTTTGATGCTGAATCTGAAAAAATAACTTTTAGAAGGAAAAAAAAGAATAAAATAGAAAATTTTGCATATTTCCCGAAAGGATGCATTTTTCTCGAAAAACGACACCTCTCGAGTATTTCGTATTTTTCGACCGGAAAGAAGCTTTTGCTAAGGCTAAAAAGTAGATATTCGCGATCAGCAGATAAAAATCTATCAGATGATGTGAAAAAAACGCGAGAAAAAAATTTTATTGAAAATTCGCTTTGTCGGCACCTTACTTAATAAAATAACAATAAAAGAAATGCAGAGATAATTCGCCAATGCATCTTGTGTTATTTATTAGGATATAAAAAGTCACCATCAAACGTGTTGTTCAAATTGTTGGTATCCTCATTTCTAATATTATGAATTCAGCCGTTCGTGTTCGATTGATTGAACAATAACTGTTTCCACTTTATCTGAAATACACCAACCGCGAAATCATATAATACTGAGCTTTCTAGGAGACACTTCGAAGCACACTGTCATAATAGAGCAATGATATACATCGAGCACACACTGGACTTCTTCCACTCTCATTATCAATTATCAATTATCACTTCAGTCTGACATCGTTCACATGGGCACTAGACACTTGGTATTGTGTCGCTGATTGATTTGTTCAGCAAGCATGGATGATCAGCTCTATCATTTTGATCGATCCATATCTGTTCTCATGAAAATGTTCGACTTTAAAGAAACATCAGTCATTTCTATTCAGATGTACATGCGTATCATCGGGTTTTTTCTTTGCTCTTCTAACGCAGGATAAAGGTTGAGGTATCGTCTTGTTTCTTTTTCTTCATATTTCTGAATCACGCATATCTTTTTACCTTTCTTTGTTATCGATGCTATTTTTGGTTGAAGCAACTGTGGTTAATAAGGTTTTGAGGATCCTTAATAATACTTATGGGTATTTTGGACACAAAATAACAAAATCCTTAGCTATACTTCTTAAATAGCTAAAAGTCGAAGGGACATACAATAAAACGTCAGAAACTTCAGAATAAGCTCATAAAATACTGCGAAGATTGTAGAAAGCACTATCTGTTGGATCAAGAGTTGGATTCAAAAACAATTCTTGGTCATATTTGAAGGACTTTGTCAAGCACAGTAAGACCTAATTCTCGGTGAAATTCTCAAGTATAATTATTAGAATATGATTCCTTTCTGATCCTATAAAAGCATTAAATTGAAATCATTTTTAGAGTTGGAAGTGATGCATTCATAGAGCGATGTTGTCAACCTGAACTTAAGCTGAAGTATCACATAGCTTACATGTGCATAGTGGAATAAAGAAAAGTCTAGACGGTTCAAGATTCTTATTTATTTAGTATGCAGCCACCTAATTCACAAAAAACAACACTCAAAGGAACTAGTTACAATGTTGTTGCAACTTACCTCGTCACGAAACCCGGTTCGAATTATTCAGCGTGTATTTGAAAATTCATTACATTTATTATGAAATCACGAATTTATTTATACTGATAAAATAAGCATAACTGGGAAAAAACTTAATCGAGAACTGAAAAGAAAAATAAATTCATAAACCGATGAGTCATTATTTGTAAAAGGTGTCTCTGAGTCTCATGCAAAAAAACAGATAATAACATAAAATCATTGTTTTTCTCGCGACATTGGTAGAAATAGTTTGGGTGCGACCATTCGAACCACGATTCGAATCAGAGCTACAGTTTTTATCTGACCATTTTATTAGATTTTCTTTCTCGTCAGTAATAGCGTGAAAAGGAAAAATATATGGACCTAAATGTTTTGCAATGATCCGAAGTAACAAATAAAAAGTAGATATACTTTTTTTCTCACATATATTATCTTAAACTAATAGCAGATACTGACAAACAAAATAGTTTAATCTTGTTTTTGATCAATAGTCAATTATGTGCTTCTAATGTGTGTATGAGTTCACCATGAGTCCTAGTGGAGTAGGTTCGAAGTTTTGATTACATTCTGGGCATGTTGCTTTCAGTAGATATCCGATGAACTTGACTGCGGGAGAGAGTTGATGACATATAGAGCATTCGTAAGATAGATTTTTGATGCATTTTAACAGATTTCGTACAATTATGTTCCCAACTTCTCTACTCTTTAGATTAAATGCCGCAATGTCGCTTTCCTTAAAGTCTTTCATAGTCCAATATAAGAATGATACCGTTGAACCGAATTGAAACAATACCAATGCTTTGACCTGACAAACATTATGAATTGTTTTCTGGTTCTATGTGTTTCAAGTTAAGCCGGCTAAGAGTCTGTCATGAAATATGACATTCGGTTTGAGAATAATCAAGAGACAACAAGAGTTATTCTGTGCTGTAGATAAATATCCCTGAGATGAGTCACTTTGTCTTTCCCTATGGAATTACGTTGTCGACATACGTTTTTAAGTCCTTGCATGAAAACATCAAATGTATGATATAACAGCTTTTAGACAATAATGATTATTACCCAGTTGCTTTGTAATCCATCATCAAAATGTTTCTCTCCTCCAGAACTAATATTATTGTTCATGAGATTGAGTGTAATTAAGTTCTGTTTGAGTAAAAGACAAAAAGACTCAAATAAAATTGATACATATAGGAAAACGATGATTTACCTGATTATCCCGTAATGTGTCAGCAAGATATTTAGCTCCTTGATAGTCAATACTGTTTCCTTCAAAATAGAATGCCCATAATCTCTGTGTACAACACGGAAAATAAATAAAAGAATATGAAAGAAAGATGCAAGTCATCTTGTTGATTCGTAATGCGTCTGTGGTATGCTTGGCTTTGGTTGCTCCTTTCCAGTTATGTCGAAGGTCTAAATACTATAATACCTATTCACAAAATAATCTATATTATGATGAATAAATCGAGAGCGAATGAATATCACTGTATTCATTTGTAACGCTTTTCCAAGGTGTTGTGTGCCTGATGGGCCAATATCATTGTTTCGAAAGAAGAGTCTTCTTAATGTCTATTGGAACGAGAAAGCACATAGATGCAAGAATGTTAGATGCCTGAATGAAAATCATTCTATTGGTTTGTATGGCATTTTCTAGATACTGGGCTCCATCGTCACCGATGGAATTATCTTCAAGAACAAGTATCCTCTATGCCTTTTGAGAAAATGAAAGAAAAGTATGAAAGCAACTTCAATAAAAAAAACCTAGAACTGCCGTATTGTTTTGTAATGCATTCGTCAGATCTATTGCGCCTGATGGTTCTATTCGATTGGTTTTATAATTCAATGTATGCAATGTCTAATTCAATAGAAGATGTCAACGAACATTGGAAAGATAAAAAAATAGATACTATCGCGCCGGTTCGTAATGCATTCGCAATATTATGCGCTCCGTCGTCTCGAATTCCATGATTAGGATCACTTCGGTGATGAAAGTCAAGCCCAATAAAATTCTATTATCATTAACGTGAAGAGATTTTTAGATATCGAAGAATATAGAAGAAAAATTGTAATCGTCTTTGGAAACAATTCAGCAAAGTATTGTATTTACACTAACTTGACAGGCAAAACAGAAGATGATTGGTTTACACTTGATATCTTACTGAATACCAAAGCTGAGATATTCTGATGTACTTCTAGTGAGTTAAACAGACAAAAGACATGTGCAAATAACTCTATTTGTTTTGAAAATCGAAAAATCAACTGGAATATTCATATTAATCCAGAGTATTATGACGCGATTGTTGAGGAAACTATGACTCAAAATACCACAGTATATTAACAGTTATAGGGTAGAGATATATGAAATTACAAACTGTTACAGAAAACTACGGAAGAACTGGATGAAAATA